AACTATCGTTCATGTTAATGTTAATGGTTAATGAAAAATTTGTAAATAGGCACTCAATAGTCATTTTGATAACTCTATCCAACGCGATAAGAACGTTTGTAATGTTTCAATTGTAAATTAACAGATTAAATCTCGCTTTTTCCTAAATGAACACAATGGTCATGACGCTTTTATAATTTACATTACAACAAGGTCAGTTTTTTATTGAGCCACTATAATGCAATCTGATACTCTTCATCTCGCTATCATTGTTCACAGAATACATACATAATGTCACATTTAGGGACTTTGACCGAAATTAACATCACAAAACAGCCCAAGCTATGTATCTGGGGGCACGGCNTTTTGCATGTAAACAGCTTCGATTTCCCAAGGGATCTCGCAGTGGAAATAATGAATCTCAGCAAGGATGACGAGTACTTGCAGATGTTCCATAAATGGAGGCGTTTCTTCAAAGTAGTGAACGAACATGGATTCTTTGGGACTAATTCAATGCAGCTCTGCCGATTATGCGAAGCGTTGAACTATAACGACAATGAAACCAAAATCTATGATAAGAATTCCCTGGAAGTATATTTGGATCCTTTTTTACTTTGTACTTCTAATACTAGCAATTACTAAAGGTTCATAATTAAAGGATGTGTTAACTACCATCAAAAGACAACAAAAACCTTCGATCTAATAAGTAATGTATTTATGTCTTCACCCACAATCTAGTAAAAGTCGCGGGAAGCACCTAGATGCGGGCAGTTGCAGGACCAGTACTTAGTTATGGAAATCCTTGCCCTTCCAGAAGTGAACGGCTTTGGCTGAAACGATGAAATCTATACTTGAAGACATGCGGTCAAAAATAGCCCATCAAAAACAATACTTGTCAAAAAAACCAAGTCTCGCAACTCAGTTGTTCTACGGTAAAAAGTTGTGAGATCCATGTAATACCAAGTCCAGGCCAGGAAATCTTTAATTAACGTTTTACATAAATATATTGACTTGGCCATCGCATGAAAACACGTGTAAATTAAATTATTTAGTGCGATGGCCAAGTCAATAATTTATGTAAAACGTTAATTAAAGATTTCCTGGCCTGGACTTGGTATTACATGGATCTCACAACTTTTTACCGTAGAACAACTGAGTTGCGAGACTTGGTTTTTTTGACAAGTATTGTTTTTGATGGGCTATTTTTGACCGCATGTCTTCAAGTATAGATTTCATCGTTTCAGCCAAAGCCGTTCACTTCTGGAAGGGCAAGGATTTCCATAACTAAGTACTGGTCCTGCAACTGCCCGCATCTAGGTGCTTCCCGCGACTTTTACTAGATTGTGGGTGAAGACATAAATACATTACTTATTAGATCGAAGGTTTTTGTTGTCTTTTGATGGTAGTTAACACATCCTTTAATTATGAACCTTTAGTAATTGCTAGTATTAGAAGTACAAAGTAAAAAAGGATCCAAATATACTTCCAGGGAATTCTTATCATAGATTTTGGTTTCATTGTCGTTATAGTTCAACGCTTCGCATAATCGGCAGAGCTGCATTGAATTAGTCCCAAAGAATCCATGTTCGTTCACTACTTTGAAGAAACGCCTCCATTTATGGAACATCTGCAAGTACTCGTCATCCTTGCTGAGATTCATTATTTCCACTGCGAGATCCCTTGGGAAATCGAAGCTGTTTACATGCAAAAATGAATCAGGTGGGAGCAACTTGGTGCAGTCCGATATTGAAGGTCCCATCACGATGGGTATGGCGCCTTTGGCAAACGCGCTATAAAACACTTTCTCGGTAAGATATTGGCGGCATCTTGCACTTTCAATTGCCAAGTAGAAATGATAATTGGCTATTTTCGGGCAATCGGCTACTGGATGATCAAGGCATCTGTAACTAAATTTCATAATAAGCATTTTGCAGTTTTTACTTTATTAAAGCTTACACTTTCACATCATCACCGTTTTTACCTTTTGGTTACTTCGGAATCTGCACACTCATTCAAAAGATCAACTTTTATATATTTACGCAATTCCTTCACATAATTTATTCCCTCTTCATTGGTACAGCGGGTTATCAACGCAGCCACTAAGACGTCTTTTTGCTTGTTCTCCCAGTACGGGATATGCTTAGTGATAGATTCAGAGGATATCTTATGCATCAGAACCTCGGGTAGAGCTACGGTGCGACCGTAAGGTATGGGCACATCTGAATCGCTTCTGTAACAACAACTTTTGTTATAGAACTCAGAAGGGCGACTTTTCAGTCCTGAGTCCCTTTGGTTTCATCTGCATACTTAGGTCAGCCTTCCTAAATCCCGATAAAATACGAAGTTTGGAACCAATCTTTAACTTAGCCAAATTAATTCTGTCCTATGTCAACCAGAACTATTGAAATAGAATACGAACTTTATCAAAACACACTTTAATTAAGTACAACAAGTTACCTGTATGTCATAGACCAATTATAAATGTTAGCTATTTTGGATAAATTGGTTGGATTGAGAGACGTAGCAACAGGGGATTCATCAGACACAAATATCCATCTCTGGGTTCTTTTCCTTTTATGAACCCAAGGGTATGAACTCAATTTTGCATCAACGACTACTGCATCCGATTTATGTAATTCCATTTTATCGAAAATGAATATACAGTTTTTCACACTGCAGACGTCAAGGGGGTCACTCCTGTGAATCATGAACAAAAAAGTATAAATGTATTTAAATAAATAGTAAATACTATCTAATCAAAACAAATAATATTTATAGGACATTTAATATTGCTTTAAGCAACAATGCAACATAGGTACTTACGTGATTTGCTTAAACCAAAAATTCCACATTAAGACAGTAAATGTTCTATTCTGAGGAATATACGTTAAAGGCTGATTTTTGAATAAAATTGAACCTATGTTCGATGTTACCCAATGCTGGAAAAAATAATTAAAATAAGAAGTACCTAAGTACCTAGTAATAACTTACCTACTTTAATTATATATTACTTCTAGAAAGTACCTACAGTAGTAACCTAAAATTTTAATGCACTTCGGGGCTTACCTTTCGATTTTCAAAATAACTATCAACTGTTGTTTTGTACCATACTGAACGTTCTCTAACTTGTCTGAAATATTCCAATTTTCTTCGAGGGACAGCATAATCAAACAAACTTAGTAATACCAAACACAGAACCGCTATTACAGGTGCTTGTTTTACGAGTCGAAATACAATAACTTTTTTTTTAACTTGTGAAAGTGTCTTTATAACCATTTTGAACATCGTTAATAATATTAAAAAACGTTTAATAACCCACAGCTAGAACTTAATTTCTTCCTTAGTCTTATATTTAGGTACTGTGTTGTGTTTTCAAAAGTCGAAAACAAAGTGATCCTTATGTATCAGTACTTTAATAAGATTCTGTACTATAGCAATAATAATCTTTCCAATTTTGGGCTACAGAAGGTTCCGTACCCACTTAATTACCATTATGTAGTTTTAAAAGAATTAACATCAATCTTGTTGGGTGCAAATACTAAAAAGAAACAAGACACGGCAAAAATATTTTTGGAGATTTTTAATATTTTACCTAACAAGTAACTAACTAATACATAATCTCGGTCATTAAATTATCATACTTACTTTATACAGACGTAGCGTGGGCAGGCCTCCCACTAGGTGGACCGGCGATCTGGTGAAGGTCGCGGGAAGTACCTGGATGCAAGCGGCGCAGGACCGGTCTTTGTGGAAATCCTTGGGGGAGGCCTTTGTCCAGCAGTGGACGTCTTTTGGCTGAAACGAACGAACGAACTTACTTTATTACATTTATGCACGGGACCCTAAAACATTATTTTGTTATTACCATCGATAACAATCATTATAATGTTTCAAAACATTAAAATGTTTACTAAGACACCCCGCAACCTAGGTACAGAATTTCTGTCGGCCGATAGTTTCTGTAGTCTGCATGGTCTCTAAGTAAGCGTTTAGGTAGGTATCTGGGTAATGTCTAGATCAAAAATCCATACTTACAGGACGCTTACAGGCAAATTACCTACCAACGCCATGTGAAGGGTTAGGGCGATGCAGCCTCTAGTCTAGACCAGGCGCGAATGTATTTTATATGAGACCTCACGCCAACTCCAGAGAATTTAAAATGACCTTAAACTGTTTTGTTTTACGTTCACAAACACTTGTTTATTAATCCACCAATATTACACATTAATTCCAACAAATTGTTTAAAATAAAAATAACTTTAAACTTTACTTCACTTTCCCGCCAAGAAGTTTTTGGTTCAATCCTTTCCTTTTGCAGGAAAACGCAAAGGCATAAATGTTACACAGCCAATAACTTATACGAAAGTCGTGGCGTGTGGCAGGCACGTGGAGTGGGGAGGGCATTAAAATGTTTGTCTTCTATAGAAGACCGTGCCAGTGAAAAGGTTAAGTTTACGATCATTATTGTATTTCTAACAAATATACAAAACTGTAGATTTAGCTGAATAACGTAATGCTTTTGCTTTATCAAAGCAAAAAAAGTCAGGAGTAAAGCTGTCTTGTCTGTCAGTGTCAATGTCGTTTTTTTTTTTTTTTGGCGGGAAGTTGAAAAGGGCGGTCTATTTGTTTTTATTTAATTCGTATTTTATTGTTAGTTTGTGTATATTTTGTAAAAAAATTGTTGTAAATTAGTAATTTAGTGTGATTAGTGTATTTCCCCTTCCTCCCGGACCGCCGTCAAGTAAACACGTCTCGAAATTAGTGTAATTTTAATAGAAAAATCAATATTTTTAACATTTAAATCACAACTCAAAAAATAGGAGTGCATAACAAGTCAGGAGGTATCACCACCGAGCAAGCATCTACCAGAAAGTGACTACTCCGCGCCGTAGCATTACTCATCGCTGACTCCGCCCACCTCGTAGCAAGTGCTACGAAGCGATCTACGGCACGCTACAGGTACGACTGCTTATACTTTCCTGTGATCCTGGTACTTCGATCTCACATCGCAAGTTCGCAACATGCCGCTTAAACGCACACCGCCGAAAGGGGCTCACTCTGACGCAGGGGACGCATTTGACAAGACTTTGAGTATTGAGTCGCTTCCGGCCTCGGGCTCGGCTCCTGATTTGAGTACAATAGGACAAGATAATATACGGAAACGAAAACATGACGATATATCATGCATAAAAAGTTTTATGGAAGAGATCCGCAATATGCTTGACAAATCAGCGGAGCAGAATAATAAGAAATTCCTCTCAATTGAATCTAAAATGACTGAAATCATTAGCCAAAATAATAATATTGTGACATCGATCGAATTCGTCTCTAAAAAATATGATGAACTCCAATCTCAAATGCAGGAGGCCGCGAATGAGAGAAAAACTGACCGCTTGTATATCAGGCAACTGGAGTCAAGGATTGAGACTCTGGAGCGCACTCTTTATTCGACAAGGTTGGAGCTGAAAAATGTTCCTAAGAAAGAGAACGAAGTTAAGGACGATTTATGCGATGTCATAATAAAAACGGGAAGTGTTTTGGGCGTTCAGGTTCAGCAGCAGGAGATAAAAGAAGTTTTTCGCACCAGAAGCAAGTCAGATAAGCCAGGCACAGTGGTGGTGGATTTTGTTAGTGCTGTAAAGAGAGACAAAATTATAAAAAAAACTCGCGAATATAATCGCAAAAACAGCTCAAACAAATTCAATACTAAACTTCTCTCATTTGATGGACCTGAGAAACCGATTTTCATTTCTGAAAGCCTGTCGCCGAGAGGACATCAGCTGTTTCGTCTGGCTCGTGACTTTGCTGCTGAAAATTCTTATAAATTTTGCTGGATATCATACGGGAAAATTTACCTTCGACGGGATTCGAATGAACGGTTTATACTTGTGGACTCCGAGGATGCTCTTTCTAAATTACGTCTAGAAAAGTGACTAGTTGCCTCACCTCAACCGCTACTTTCATACCAACCTATCTTATATTTGGAAACATTTATTGTTTTTGATTCAAGTATATTTTTAAGTACACGCATGAAAACACTAATCCCACACATAAAAACCAACACTTTACACATCCAAACACAAATTTACCACATTATTACACACTTAGTAAATAACAAGATACAATTTTTACACACCAAAACACTTATTTACACAAACACTAATGAGCTATATTTAAAAAATTTAATAACAAATAACCTTGTAACTTTGGACATATTTTTGCACACACTCTGGTCTATAACTTATTCAAAATCAAATCATGCTTTTATACCAGTTGCATTCAAGCTGATCTTCGGTATAGCCTTGGTTTTTTGCGGATCGATAAAAATATTTATAATCTGCTGGGTCATCTTGCATCTCAGTTTCCACCACATTTCTTCTTTGATATTTAATGTATGTGATGAAAGTTCTATTAATCGTAACAGGCCTTGAACAAATGACGAACAATATATCTGAGGATATTGATAATATTACTGTGGCGACAGCTCATCTTTGTGACACTGACTCATGCAGTAAAATAATTAAGGCAAGAGGTAATCATTCTTTAAACATTATCACTCAAAATATTCGTAGTATTTACAGGAATTTCAATGACTTTTGTGCTCACCTTGCCAGGCTTGATTTTGAAAATGATGTCATTGTTTTGACGGAATGCTGGCTTAGTGAACACAAATTGCCACCGACTCTTGATAACTATAAATGTTACTATTCTAAAAAATATTTGAACCAAAATGATGGAATTGTTATATACATAAAGGAAGATCTCAGATGTACTGTTGAAGAACCAGACCCGATTGGTGCTAACTTCATGGTGCTAAATATTGTCCCAGATATTGTTATAGTTTGTACTTATAGGTCACCATCTATATATAACACTGATGGTTTTCTTCAATCGCTAGAAAACATAATTATGCCAATACGTGCAGATAATATTGTCTTGATAGGCGATGTTAACATTGATATAAAGATAGGTAGCAGCGATAGAAATAGCTCCTCATATCTTAATCTTTCCGCTGAGCTTGGTCTACTTCCGGGACATTCCTTTCCAACAAGATTAAATAACTGCCTAGATCACATATTGATAAAATCCCGTATGTCAGCAACAGTAATTGTAATTAATTCCACAATAACTGATCACGCCTCAATTATACTCAATTTAGATAGGGAAAAATCTAAAATGTCTTGTAATCCTTACTCCATTAAATGTAACCTCGTGGATGCCTTAGATCATCTTAAACAGGTGGATTTCTCATTTGTAACATCATTCTCAAGTGTTGAAGAGATTGCACAATCATTTGTCGATAAGCTTTCTTTTGCTGTAACTAGTAATACGAGGGAAATTAGAATCCCTAGAAGAAAAAGAACTATAAAGCCCTGGATCACCCCGGGTTTGCTTAGATGCATCAAACATCGTGATAAACTACATGAAAGGGCCAGGGCCCATCCTAGTAGCACCGAAGCGGAAACCTGCTATAAGCGATACAGAAATTTCTGTAACTCGCTCATTAAGAAAGTCAAAACCCAATACGACAGATCTTTGATCTATACCGCTAAGAATAATAAACAAACCTGGTCTGCTATCAAATCAATTATTGACGCACCTAACAAAAAATCAAATCCTGACGAACTTTTACGCCTGTCAGATGACCCCGATAAATCTGTTAGTTGTGTCAATGGTTTCTTTGCAAGCATTGGTAAGGATTTGGCTGATAAAATTGCACGCCCGAAGGATACTGGAGATTTAACTTCTTTTAGAGCTTCATTTTTGGCCAATTCTATGGGAATGTTACCACCTGATGAAGCTGAAACTGAATCAATCATTTTAAATCTAAAGACTGACTGTGCGGTGGGGTATGATTCAATTCCTAATAAATTCTTAAAAATGGCAAAGGATATTATTGTTCCACCACTTACTATTGTTCTGAGATTGTGCTTCGATCATGGTGTCTTCCCCAGAGCCTTTAAGAAAGCGCTTATTACACCAGTCCACAAGGGTGGGAGTCGAGACAGTGTTACGAATTATAGGCCAATATCAGTACTTACCTCATTGTCTAAAATTCTTGAAACTATGTTAAATAGGAGATTAATGTCGTTTTTGGAAAATAACAGAATTTTATCAGATTGTCAATTTGGATTCAGGCCTAAAAAAAGTACGGAAGATGCTGTGCGTACACTTGTAGATTTTGTTTCTCATAATTTGGATTGCAAACGTAAGTGTATTGGTATATTCCTGGACCTCGCCAAGGCTTTCGACACTGTTTCGATTCCTGGGCTTGTGGACAAGCTAGAGCGGATTGGAATAAGAGGTAACGCGCTTTCTATTTACTCTAGTTTCCTTCGTGACCGTGTCCAGCAGGTCAAGATAGGAAGATATATCAGCAGGGAAGAGTATGTGTCCTATGGAGTCCCGCAAGGTAGTATCCTGGGTCCGAGTCTATTCTTGATATACATCAATGATCTATGCCAAATGTCGCTTGATTCTGGCAAAGTCATCACATACGCTGATGACACGGCACTTGTGTTTCATGGATTGACTTGGGACGAGGTGCGGGGTAGGGCTGAGGTTGGGTTGCGCAAGGTGATTGAATGGCTTAATCGAAACTTGCTAACACTAAATCTTTCCAAAACTACCTTCTTACAATTTTCAGCCTCTAAGGTGCAATCTAGTGATTTTGTCATCAAAGCTCATTCTTGTGACGTTAAATTTGAGAATTCGTGCACATGCCTTTCTATTGTAAAATCCTCTTCCATTAAATACCTCGGTGTTTTACTAGATTACCGACTTAACTGGCAACAACATATTGAGCTACTTACATCACGTACTCGAAAACTCATTTGGGTTTTCAAGAGGCTAAGGTATGCGGCCAATTTAGACCTTTTGCGAAAAGTGTATTTTGCATTAGCACAATCAGTTCTTGGCTATTGTATTGTCGTTTGGGGAGGCGCCTGCAAATCTCACATGATCCAAATTGAAAGAGCACAGAGATCCTTGCTAAAAACAATGACTTTTAGCCCCTTCAGATTTTCGACTGTTGCCTTGTATCAAAAGTGTTCTGTTCTAACTGTAAGGCAACTATTCTTTTTGCGGACTATTACCAGACAACATCAATTCACTCCATACATCGCTGAGAGAACTAGTGGGAGGCGTGTAATCAAGAATGTAATTGAAGTGCCCAAGTGTCGAACTGCATTGGCCAGTCGACAAAGTTACTTTCTATCCATTTATTTATATAATCAAGCCAACAAACTTCTGAACTTTTATCCTGGTACTGTATATGAATGCAAAATTAAAGTAACAAACTGGCTGCTTACGCTTGACTACCAAAAGACTGAGGAACTTTTAAAAGTACGTTTTTAGCTCACACAGAAATAATTTGCTCTTACACACACACACACACACACACACACCACACACACACACACACACACACCACACACACACGCACACTCACACCGATACACCTCAAACTCACACCTCACAATGTACTATTTTATCAGTTTTTTTGTTTGTGAACATTGTTTAAGATTCAATCTTTATTAACACTTTTAATTTTTCTTTGTTTATGATCTGTGGAAGAGGGCGCTGATCTTCTGAGATACAGGTATTCTATACCTAGTTCGGAAATCAGAGTTCTTTTAAAGTCTCTGTATTATGTTACAATTAATAAAGAAATTTATTATTATTATTATTATTATTTATTATATAGGGGTAAGTCCATTTGCATATTTATAAACTATGGAGACGGAACCAGCTCCTGACCCTGATCCTCCCCCAGCCACTCCACAATCTCAGTCCAATCCTTTATTGACCTTAATAGAGGCTGATAATTTCATATCTAACCAACATGTAAAAGAATTTGAGTCATTTAAACTAGTAACAAATAGAAAAACTCAGAAAAAAATTAACAAACATTTATTAAAGACCAAATCCTCTCCTAAAATGCACATTACCACTGCTTTTCAAGAAATTTTAACGCAAGCTCCTCCAGCCCCGGTGATCCAACATTCTCAACAGAATAACCATATAATAGGCAGAAACAATTACCAGGATCAGGATGCAGGTCCTTTTCTGGTACATGTCCAACAAAAAGAAACTCCCAACTCTGGCTCCACTCTTCACCCCATCAAATTTGGGAATTTTCTATTCAGAAATAATTTAAAAAATATTTTGGATGATGGCATTAANCCTCCATTACTCGCCTACCCATCAAAATAAGTGCGAGTTAATTGAAAGCGTGCTTGTCGGTGACCTGCCGTCAGTTTCGAGCCTGTGGCAGGCCTTTTTGGAGTCAAATTCTATTGCTTATATCTTAGACGATCTGTCCACACGCTAACAGCTATCCTACGAGCATTTCTGAGCTCTTGCTGGACGTCGATACTACTCAAATGATGATTTCATAGAGAGGTTGACATGAAAAAACGGTCATCCCTCTGCGATATGCACCGGCGCTGTTCAGAACTTGGTCTCGGGATAAAGCCACCAGTCTCCCGAAAGCGTCTTAAAAGTTTCGAAACCGTGGACTGGCTTATGTGGAGCTGACGTGCGACAGCCCGCTGGCTGAGCCCTTCTTGCAATAGTGCAACGATTTGTGCTGCTTCTGTAGGTGTAGAATCCCAGGTAAAGTGTCAAAAAAAGCGGAGATGTGTATGGATCAACGTGTGAAAGCAAAAATCCGAAAACACGTGTTTTTATAGGGGGTAAGTAGGCCGCAACTCGCGACGTATCAAACAGTTGATACATGTCTTTTTCCTTACTTCTTCACATCAGCCGCGATATCTTTTTAAATACTGGTGTGATTTAAATGAATTTGGTATCAATTAAAAGGTAAAAGTTTAATCTTTAAAATGGTGCCACTTTTTTTGTTATTAACAAATTCGTTAGTACACAAGATCGCGTGGAAACAACTTCATGTAAGTGATTCCATAGTTTTGCT